GACATTGACTCACGATTCTTCTGTATCGTTCTCAAATGGATGGTTACTCGGTTCCATTGTACTATCTGCTCTTGCTTTGACTAGGACTTCAGTGTGATTGTGCAATTTGGATTTCTGCGCTTCGTCCACATTCATGTTCCTTGCACAAGCTTCCATTCTCTCTCCTCATTTGAATTTTGAAGCCATGCAAAAGAAACAACTTCAGAACTGCAATCGATGACAGTCGCTATCCTGTGATCCCAGGGACTCTCGACTCTCGATTCTCGAGGTATCCACCATCATCTCCGATTCTGAGGATCCATTGTCAGTGGCTGGGAGCGGTTCCCCTGCTCGGTTTGCTCATGAAGGTTGAAGCCTGGTGCTGGCCTGTGGCCCGCGCTGTGGGCATAAAAGGCACAGCAGTACAACTACAGTAGGGTTACCCACCGGGGGGGGGACGCAGGACCCGGTTTCCAGCAGGTGTTGCTCCTCGCCAATAGGTTGGAGCCAGCAGGTCTGCTAGTGGTGGGGGCTCGTATCACCACCACTAGCACAGCCAACTGGTGTTAAAAAAAAAGAAAAAAAGAAAAAAAGAAAAAGAAAAAGAAGCAGGGTTACCAAGCACTGCACATGAAAACCCTGTACGCACAAGGCGAAGCTTCAAGCTTGTCGCTGATGAGGTTGGCATCCTTCAAGCCTACAGGGTGGGTGGGTAGACTGGAAAGCATGACCACCGTCTTCACCAGAATACAACACCCACTGTCACCCAGTGCTTATAGCCGTATTTGGTCCTACTTTGTCCAGCTACGGCGATAATGACCGGGCGTTCTATCCGGGTGAAGATGATAGTGGATCAAAGTTTCGTGCAGAGGAGGCTGGCTGCGCCATATATCGAGCATGTTTTCTATCAAACTACTACCTGTAATGCCAGGGTTGGTCTCGGCAGAGCCCTCAAGAGTCAAAACCCCATCAATGACCATGTCACAACACCTACCTCACCCTCCCTTCATTCCCGATCGACCCAAGTACAACACTACATGAATGCTGTAATCTCCTATTCTACCATGCATAAAGACATGCTCAACAGAAAGGAAAAGAAGAAAGCATGTCAGTTAGTGCACCCAGCAGGGGGCATTCAACACCTCAGCTGCAAACCCCCTGAGGGGCTGAGCTTTTTTTCTTTTCTTTTCAAAGAACCCTCCAAGGCTGCCAGGAGTGGTGATATGAGCCCCCGCTCCTAGCACACTCCCGTCTATTGGTGGGGAGTGCCACCTGCTTATTATTGTGAAGATTCTGTGAAGAATCAAATCTCCAATCCAGTTTTGATATGCACTTCTCATTCAAAGAAACATGGCCATGGCAATGGACTGGACTGAAACTTGCAGGCTTACGTCGGCTAGGAGCAACAAGCTTGAGAGCGTCCTGCACTGGCTCAGCCAAGAAGGTGCAGACTGCACTTGGGTGGTCATTTTGGAGGCCTATACGATCATACAGCAACCGATAATTCCATGGAAGCTTGGAGTCAGGAAAGGTCGCTCTGTTGGTGCAGCCTACCAGTAAGAAGTGTGAATTTGCATTTGCAGTAATTTTGTACATAAACAAACCTTGGAAGTTCCAAGTTCAAACTGCTCGGATCCCTTCCCAACCTCCACTGCTCAGAACCATTCTTCTTCCCCCAGCAAGTCAGGGAAAACAATGTTTACTTACTTGAGGAGGGGGGGGGGGGGGTTCCTCTCCCGTCATGACCAGGGGACCCACCCACAGCATTTTGTTTTTCTTCTGAGACACTTCCATTCCCGGGGGATCACTTAACCCGGTGATAAGAGCAACCTCGTTAAGTGGTCCCGGGGGCGTTGACGGCTCCATCTATTGGTGGGGAGCGGCACCTGCTGGAAATCGGGTCCAGCGCAGCGTCCCAGTGACCCACCCACAGCATTGATCGCTTCTTTAAGTTCTTTTCGGAAGTATTGAATGCACCCACAGGCAGATAACGGACCACATCCGCTCAGGAGAAGCAGGAGAAGCAAGGCTTAAATGTACTACCTACTAGTACCCAGAGGTCCATTCTGTTTGGAGCATCATCCCAATTTAGCATTTACCATCCATCCATTCATTGGTAAGTATGGGGAGAACGCATGAAACAGAGAACATATCTTATGGACGAAAACCAGTCCGAGACTCCTTTTTTTGGGCACGAGAGGTATAATTAACCCTGTCCTCTCATTAGAGTCATTACTGAATTTTACACCTAACTGCACTGCCTTAGCACTGCCCCTTCTGCATCATTTTCCTTGGTTGAACTCTCAGCCCCTCGCGTCCAGGACCGCTTCATACACAGATTCCTGCTCCGTGTGCATAAACCTGCTCAATCTACTGGCTCATTTTCTACTAAGGGAAGTTCATTCCAGCCCACTTCAGTCCCACTTGGCTGGAGGTTTTTAAGGATCCTGCCTGCATCATCAGTATCTCTCCCCAGGTGGATCATAGTCTTTCGCGAATGAAAATTTACCCTCTGGGCCTCTGCTCATATCTGGCCACTTTTTCTTGCAACTCTTATTCTTTCCCTCCCTCATCCCCTTCGATTGGCACCATTCTTTGGGGATGATAATACGTAAGAGGTATGCTATTTCTCTCCCTCGTCCTAACAGGTCCTCGTACAAATTTCTTCTCTCTTAGAATTAGAAGGGATGTCTTTCAGGCTGGGATTGATTGCATGGATGCATATGTTTGATCAGACCATCTCCTCTCAGTCGTTACCTAGCTCCTTGTGAATACTTGCTCCTTGTTGACTGGCTACCGTCTTCACCCGAATAGAACGGCCGGTCATTATAGCTGTATTTGGCACAACTTTCAGCCCAGACACGGCGATAATGACCATGCATTCTATTCGGGCGAAGACGGTAGTCACCAATGGTCTGGACACAGCTCTCCTTCCCGATAGTCTATCTATCTTCTTATTGTTGCTGAGGGGTGCGGGCCGGATGAAGCTGTAAGAACATGTAATACGTATGTATGCCCACACCTACATCTCATGTCCTCTCAGTTTCCTAGCACTTTGTAACTTGCCATGCTTGATCTATGTTGACTGGCTAGCCATTCATGGTCTTGACAGCTTTCCCTCCAGATCCTCAATCTCCTTATTGTTTTGAGGGGGTGAGGCCAGATGAAAGCTGCAAGGAGAGCAATCGTGTGGCTGGATGAAAGACCTCTCTGTGGGCAGACGAGGCATGGAAAGAAATGGGGAACTATTGACTGATTAACCTGTCTACTGATTGACCCTCTGGTCCTCTGATGAATCCTTAGATTCATCAATCCTTCAACCCAACACCACCAACTTACCCATGGGCCATCCATTCAACCATCCACCCACTCACCCACAGCCAAACTACCGCCCATCCACTGGTCTATAGACTCTATACGCGCATGCATCACCTGCCCATAATCTATCGACTCACCCATCGGCCTGCCTGTCCACCCGCTTACTCACCTGCCTGCCAACCGTCTTCACCTGAATAGAACGCCCGGTCATTATGGCTGCATCTAGACTGAAAGTTGCCCCAAATACGGCTATAATGACCGGGCGTTCTATTCGGGTGAAGACGGTAGCTACCCACCTCCCACCTACCTGGTGGCTTTTACCTAGGCACCAGCCCACCCAGCTGGTTTAAAGGTGTGCTATGTTAGTATGTTCCAAGTCCGATCATGATGCAAAACCCAAATTTGAGCCGAGGACAGGATTGGCCACAATGAAAAAATAAGGAAGGGAAGCAATTGAGGGGAAAAAAAAAGAGAAGAAGAAGCAGCAAAAAATGAATAGAATCAAGTTCAATCAACCGAGTTATCACTCCCCGTCATCTGACCACCTTCACCATCTCTCACGCCTCTCCTCCTCTTCTTTTTTGCATCATTTTCTTATTGCATCATTCTCGATAAGCAATGAAACAGTTGTCCCAGTGATCTCCGTAGCAGTTGCCGTTGAGAACGAACTCACTCCAGCTCCACTTCCCCAAACTCCATCCGTGGTAGTAGTACTACATCCTGCATGTCGTCAATACCACTAAAGTGGGGTATACAGACGACGGCACAGAAGAATTTCCCTCTCTCTCCCTTTGAACATCATCACTACACCTCTGGGTGAAGTCTTCACTCAAAATAACCCTAAAGGTGTCTTCTTGATGTAACATCTTACCTACTGGAAGAGGTCAAATTGTGAACGTGCCTGTTGATACCTCATTGAACGTAGGTAGAGTCGACGGCCCACGATCAAATATGATGTGCGAATCGTCCATCGAACTTGGGTATAAGGGCGATTTTTGTGCAAAGGATTGATCAAGCAAGCGAGGAAACGACTTCCCAGCAAAGTTATGTCGTGACTGTCGCATGTCATGACCGATGTTTCCAACCTGATTTATGGCCTTTAGTCAATTTCCCTGTAATCATACCTAACTAAATGTTTCACAGTTTCACTGCATCTGTTCCTAGACGCATGTGCGGGCAGATACGTTCACTTTTGACTGACCCTGCGACTGCAGGAGTCTGGTTAAGGGTGTGGGCAGTTGTCTTCTTTTACATGCCCAATGCGGCACTAAACCCAAATACCATAGCCAAACCTTCTCCTTCTTCCTCTTACTCAATCTCCATAGCCCTGGAGGTCGTGTCATTCGATCTCCAGCTCCTCTGTCACCTCCAGCATGTCTGCCCCATCTCTCCCATGGCAGACCCAGAGTGTGACCGCAATGAGCTCCCACATCTGTGTATGTCAGGGAAGAGTGCCTTCTCTGCTTGATCCTCTCCCCTTCTACCATTCCCGGACTTGACTCTTCGCTCTTGGGATACTTTCCATGCTGATGATGTCCTCGAGCCCCTCGTCCTATGTTGGGTGATAGAGACACGTTTTGGTCTCCCATTGTACTAGCAGGCTCATTGTACTTACATCCCATGTTTGGAGTTCAAGATTCTTGCTTTTGTGGGAGATCCTTGGTCGGTTCTATGTCCCAGTTCTTATCACCCAACATACCCATCTTCCTCATTCCCCTCACTCCCCTCACTCCCCTCACCCTTCTCTCTCTCTCTCTCTCTCTCTCTCTCTCTCTCTCTCTCTCTCTCTCTCTCTCTCTCTCTCTCTCTCTCTCTCTCTC